AGCGCCAGTGTAAACAGTGTCCCAGCACTGGGAGCCGCACTCCTTGTGGAGGTGGTTTTTTTAGAGCTCTCTCCCAGCGCTCTGCCGTGACCACACACAGCACGTTAAAGCGCTGCCGTGGCAGTGCTTTAGCGTTGCCAGTGTAGACTAGCGCTAAGATAGGAGGGTGATCTACACACACAACTTACACTGGTTTAACTAATTGAATTAGTTAAACTGGTGCAAATCTCTGTGGACACAGTTCAACAAGTGTGCCAACTGGCTTATATCTGTAAATTACTGAATTAATATAAGCCAGGTAGAAGACTGTTGCTTGAAGGGTGTTTTGTAAAGGGACACTGTTAGGTCCATCCACAGCTTGATAGGACAAATGTACAGACATGTTTTCGTGCTTTTATATTTGGGTTTAAACCCATTCCCCTGCTGTATTTGCTATTCAAACATCACAACTTCATTCTAATGAGATCACCAAAAAAACTCTTCACAATGTGCATTTCTGTCAGCTTGGATGAAAGCAAATCTGCGTTATGGGTGACCAAATAAATGTTTCTAAACTTTCAGTTTGACTATTCCAAGGGAGCCATGGCAATAGAGGGAATGAAACTTCTTTTAAAAGAAGATGGTGTTTTTAACCTGCCACTGTTGCTTTAAATAGACCAGCACTTGGTTAGGAGTGGAATGCCCAGGATTTAACAGTCTTCTGTTTGTTAGCAACACCGTGACTCCGGGTGGGAAGCCCAACAGAACACGAGTGATCTGGGGGAAGGTAACGCGTGCCCATGGAAACAGTGGTATGGTTCGTGCCAAGTTCCGGTCCAATCTTCCTGCTAAGGCCATTGGACACAGAATCAGAGTGGTGAGTACAGTACTCTAGTAGTGAATTGTTTTTCCTCACAGCTGAGAGAGACCACTGAGAAAATGTTACATTGGTGTGGGGAAATATATAAAAATTCCCTTTCCCCTGTTTCCAGTGTGCAACTTCCACAGGGCCTGTGATAGGTGCATGTTGGGACCTGTACTCTGGCAATGGGAAAGGTTTAACTTCGCTGTTATCACCCCTCAAAGATTATTTACTCTTGCTTTCTTTTCCCTCTCCCTCCAACTTTGTACATCTAATTCTTTCTTCTCCTCCTCTCTCCCCCAGTCTTTTATTTTCTGTCTCCTGGTCCACTCTCCCTTTTTTTTGGGTCAGGATGTTCTGAGGTCTTTATTTTTCTTTCCCTCATCTTCCCCAAATGCCTTCACCGTATCAGCCCTGCTTCTGGCTGAGGACTAAATGAATCTCTCCCAAGTCTGGTCATGGACACAAAACTCACATGTGCTGTTACCCATGCACCTCCAGGAGAACCTCCTCCTTGGCTGTCTGTGTGTCACCACTCAAACTATTGCTCCTGTACACACTATCATCCTAGTGATGTTGTCAAGAACAGTATCAGAGTGAGATGTGACCCTGCTCAGCTTTCATCATCCTATAGAAAAACCACTGTAGGAGGAGCACAAGTGCTATCCTTCATTGCAGCTGGGCAAAAGAGAGCAGTTATCCTCTCATTCCCCCAGCTAGGCTGGAAGATGGTGCATGGGCTACCCCTGCAAAGAGCACTTCCCAAAGACTGAGCCATGTTCTGTGCTCTTCCATTCTTCCATGTAGAACAGGGGTGGGCAAACTACGGCCCGCGGGCCGGATCTGGCCCACCAGCCGTTTCAGTCCGGCCCTCGAGCTCCCCCTAGGGAGTGGGGTCTGGGGCTTGCCCCACTCCGATGCTCTAGCCAGGGAGCAGGGTCAGGGGCCACTCCACGCGGCTCCCGGAAGCAGGGGCATGGCCCCCCTCTAGCTCCTACGTGTAGGGGCAGCCAGGGGTCTCTGCTCTGCATGCTGCCCCCGCAGCGCCCATTGGCTGGGAACCACAGCAAATGGGACCTGCAGGGGCAGTGCCTGCGGACGGGGCAGAGCTGCCTGGCTGCGCTTCCGCCTAGGAGCCAGAGAAGGGACATGCTGCTTCTTCCGGGAGCCGCTTGAGGTAAGTGCTGCCCCGGAGCCTGCTCCCCTGAGCCTCTCCCCGTGCCCCTGCCCTGATCCCCATCCCGCCGTCTGAACCCCTTGATCCCAGCACCCGCCCACTCCCGCATGCAGAGCCTGCACCCCTTTCCACATCCCCCAGCCCGGAGCCCCCTCCCGCACCCTGAACTCCTGATTTCTGGCCCCACCCTGGAGCCTGCACCCCCAACCAGAGCCTCCCGCACCCCAAACCCAATTTTGTGAGCATTTATGGCCCACCATACAATTTCTGTTCCCAGATGTGGCCCTTGGGCCAAAAAGTTTGCTCACCGCTGATGTAGAATCATCATCACTTCATGGCAATGTAGGACTGGAAGGAATCTTGAGAGGTCATCTAGTCCAGCCCCCTGCTCCGGCAGGGCCAAGAGAATCTAGTCTGTTCCTAACAGGTTTTTGCCCAACCTGTTCTTAAAAACCTCCAAATGCTGAGGATTCCACATCCTGCCTTGTAAGCCTATTCTGGAGCTTATCGACCATTACAGTTAGTAATTGGAGTCCCCTGCAAATTATGTAAGCATATTTATTTGGGTAGTCTATTATCCAAATCATGAATGAAAATATTGACTAGTACCAGACCCTGGATTGACCCCTGCGTGACCCCCACCCCCAACTACCGCCTCCCTGTTTGATAGTCAGCCATTGGTAACTACTCTTTGAGTATGGACTTTCAGCCGGTGGTGCACCCTACCTTGCAGTAATTTTGTATAGACCTCATTTTCCTCGTTTGCTAATGAGAACGTCAGGTGGTGTTGTATCAAAAGCCTTACTAAAATCAAGATCTATCACACCTACCGCTTCCCTCCATCCACTAGACCAGTAACCTGTCAAAGAATGCTCTGTGCAAACTGCTAGCTATCTGCATGGGTATTTAGAGAAGGATTAATTAGAAATGTGTTAACATTTTAGTTTAGTAACAAGATCTCTAACCTGATTTTTTGTTTTTGTTTTACAGATGCTGTATCCATCTAGAGTCTAAATTTTTACTAAAAATAAAATTCAGAAATTGTTCGATTTTGTTTTTAATGATTTCTTATGACCTTCAGTTGGTGTGGGGAATAACTAGTTCATTTTCAGTTGTTTCTACAACAAGTGTTACATAATCCACAAAACAGGACAATGATCTAGTAATAGCAGATGATAAAGGGAGGAATTGGATTTGTTACTGACCAAAGCATCAAAAGAGAAAATTACCTCTTAAATGAAAATAGATCATAATTAATCTGACTGTTAGTTACCAATCTGTAGGTTTTTTCCTATAACTCCCATCATGGTATCTAAGAGTGCTCTTCAATAAAAGTTTAACATCTCAAAATTGTGCATGTAAACTGAAAACAAATGCAACTTCCATACAGTATTTGAAAAACACTTTGCCGACTTACTAAAATGAAAGCTCAAAGTTTTGTTTCTCTTGCACTAGTTGATTCTTCTGACAAATCGATGTAGATAGTACAGTTCTGTACGGTTACAGTTTGCAATTTCAGGTGTAATACAGAACTCAATTTATTTGCCAAGATTCAAATTCGTTCAGCTCACATTTAAAAATGTGGCTTCTTGAGATACTCACGAAGAACAGGACTTCAGCACCCCTGAACAGTCCTCTTTGGCTCTCACCTACCTCTTAAGTCACTTCCACTTTATGTAGTTTAGTTCCACACCTGCCTCCTGTTTGACACCCCTTCATTCTCCATCACCATAGTGCATGTTTCCTCTGCACAAGTCTTGACTTCCTGTTTTCCTGGATTGTTAGATACTGGTTATCCACTAGACTTTTAACAAGAAAAAAATTCTTATTTAAAGACATAAGGGCCATATTGGGTCATACCAATGGTCCATCTAGCCCAGTATCCTGTCTTCCAGCAGTGGCCAATGCCAGGTGCTTCAGAGGGAATGAACAGAACAGGCAATCAAGTGATTCGTCCCCTCTTGCCCATTCCCAGCTTCTGGCAAAAGCGAGGCTAGGGACACAATCCCTGCCCATCCTGGCTAATAGCCATTGATGGATCTATCCATGAATTTATCTAGTTCTTTTTTGAACCCTGTTATAGTCTTGGCTTTCACAACATCCTCTGGCAAGGAGTTCCACAGGTTGACTGCGTTGTGTGAAGAAATACTTTTTTGTTTTAAACCTGCTGCCTATTAACTTAATTTGGTGACCCCTCGTTCTTGTGCTATGAGAAGTAGTAAACAACACTTCCTTATCTACTTTCTCTATACAAGTCATGATTTTATAGACCTCAGTCATATCTCCCCTTAGCCATCTCTTTTCCAAGCTGAAAACTCCCAGTCTTATTAATCTCTCCTCATACGGAAGCTGTTCCATATCCCTAATCATTTTTGTTGCCCTTTTCTGAACCTTTTCCAATTCCAATATATCTCTTTTGAGATGGGGTGACCACATCTGCACACAGTATTCAAGATGTGGGTGTACCGTGGATTTATATAGAGGCAACATGATATTTTCTGTCCTATTATCTATCCCTTTCTTAATGATTCCCAACATTCTGTTCGCTTTTTTGACTGCCGCTGCACATTGAGTGGATGTTTTCAGAGAACTATCCACAATGACAAATTTTGCCACCTCACTGTTTACCCCTTTTTCCAGATATTTATGAATATGTTAAATAGGACTGGGCCCAGTACAGACCCCTGGGGGACACCACTATTTACCCCTCTCCATTCTGAAAACTGACCATTTATTCCTACCCTTTGTTTCCTATCTTTTAACCAGTTACCAATCCACGAGAGAACCTTCCCTCTTACCCCATGACTGCTTACTTTGCGTAAGAGCCTTTGGTGAGGGATCTTGTCAAAGGCTTCCTGAAAATCTAAGTACACTAGATCCCCCTTGGTCCACATGCTTGTTGACTCCCTCAAAGAATTCTAATAGATTGGCGAGGCGTGATTTCCCTTTACTAAAACCACCACTATTGACCTCTCTCCATTCTGAAAACTGACTTAAAATCAATATACTGCATTTGTTTTATTTCTTCATGTCTGTTTAAGACTGGGTTTGTTAAACATGCAGGGAAGAAAACGGATTGTAAACTCTTTGGGGCAGAAGCTGTCACTGTAAAATACCTACCACACTAGGGCCCCGAGTCAGGACCACTGGGCATTAACCATAATACCAATGTTAAATAATTAAAGTTTGATTTTAAGACTAACAGGTCATTTTGGGAAAGGGTGGGATTGTGACATCAGAGATAACCTGGCCAATCAACATACAGTTGACTAGTGAATTTGCCTACTGCAAACAGTTTGATTGCGAGACCATTAGAAAAAGCTTTCCTCTCTAGATGGTAACACAGGTAAGTTATCTTAAAACTGGCTTTAGGTAACAGGTACACTAACCCTGTTTAAGATGCTGAAAATTGACACTCAGTCACATTGTGTTAGTGAAATGTAGCCCTCTGTCCATGCTTGTGGAATCAGGGACTTTTTAACCTGGCATTGGAACTGCTGCTAATCTATTAAATATCATCAATTATATGTCCTTTTCCTGGTGAGTGACACAAATGTGTATAAAGCGACAGAGTCCTGTGGTACCTTATAGACTAACAGACGTATTGGAGCATAAGCTTTCGTGGGTGAATACCCATTTCGTCAGACGCATGTAGTGGAATGTGTATAATTCACCTTCTGGTCTATTTCTGGTGTGAGGAGTATGAGTGTGTCTCCCAACCTCCCTTGTTAGGGGAGAGTCTTTCACATTCTCTCCCCTCTGCCTATGGAGGCAGGGTAGCAGAGTGTATACAATAGCCAGTGTATCTGAGGCCCTGAAGCGAGAACTTCCGGGCTCTTCCTTGTCTCTCACGCTATTTAAATGTCATCTCTTTTAAAAGATACAGCAGAAATTAAAGCTGGTCAGAGGTGACAAATCAGATGATTAGATGTGTGGCCTGTGAGGGGAGAGTGAGAACTTTAACATGTCTGTCGAGGCAACAAAGCAGAGGGGACATAGAGATGCAGAGAAGATCCCTGGTGGACTTCTCTTACTCTGAGAACAGGGGGACACTCAAGGAAGCTGAAAGACAAGTTTAAACCCGATAGTTTTTCTTTTAAGCGAAAACACAACCTGTGATATTCTCTCCCACAAGATATCAGAGTCCAAGATTTGACATGCTCCATTAGATAGGATTTTTTAAAAGGCGGGGGGAGGAGATGACAGAGAGAGAGAGGTATTGTTATGCTTCCAGCCATAAGCCAACCTCCACCTGAAGAAGTTAGTAAGAAACTTCCCAGTGGTTGAGTTATTCCATATTTTCATATCACCTGGATTCTAGCCCCTTCTGCTGCAGCATTTGTTCCTGGACGCTGTTGGTAATCACATACTGTGCTGGATGAGCTGTCTGAATTGGACTGGCAATTCCTCTTTGTTCTGCCTCCCAGGGAGGGTGTGTAGACGGTAGAAAATCCATGCACTGCACCTCCAACGGCTTGGGTAGCTCACAGCAAAAATGGCCAATGACACCGATGTTTGGATCCTCCTGTGGTGAAAGGTCCCATTCGTTCTTATTTTTCCTCTTCGCTGTGCAAGACTTCTGATCCCTTGTTGAATAAACCCACGATATTTGAACTCACAAAGAAGCAGTTCATGTCTACACTGCAGCTGAGAGCAAGCCTCCCAGCCCGGGTAAAGAGACTCCTACTTCAAGCAGAGCTAGCAATGCTAAAAATCACTGTCGATGTGGCATGGGTGGAGGATCGGGCTAGGTGGGCAGGCTTGGACTCGGGCGGCTAGCCCATGCTGTAATGTTCACACTGCTGTTTTTATGTGCTCGCTCTGCCTGAACTAGTGTGAGACTGTCTACCTGGGCTGGGACTAGAGTGACCAGATGTCCGGTTTTTAAAGGGACAATCCCGTTTTTGGGGACTTTTTCTTATATAGGTGCCTATTACCCCCACACACACACACATCTCCTGTCCCGTTTTTTCACAGTTGCTATCTGGTCACCCTAGCTGGGACCCACAGAGTCTTAGCTGTTCTCTGCACACCCTTCCCACTCCCACAGAAACATTGGCACAGGCTTCCCTTGCGCTCCCTGTAACAAGCCCCTTGCCGTTCTAGTGATGCTGTAGTCTGGGAGGAAGATATGGAGTCGGAGCTGCTAGGGGAGACCCCTGTGTGCTCCCCGGCAGAGCCAGTGCACTGGCAGTTGCTGACTCTGCTGGACACTGTGGGCAGGCGGAATGGACAGGTGCTAGTGATGGAGATGGATGATGTACATGAGGCAGCCCCGCTCGTGCAGATGGACTTTGCCCAGGAGCTCTTCAGAGGGATCGACCTGAAGACCAAACTCCACCGGAAGGAGGAAACCAAGGAGGAAGAGCAGGAGGTGCAACCGCAGCTGGTCTTCATGCTCTGGCAAGCTGCCACGCTGAGGCAGCTCATGCAGTGGGAACACCTGGATGAAACACTCTGGAACTTAAGGAATCTCTTTCCCTGCATGCCAGCTGCTCTGGTACTGGTGATGATCCAGCCAGACCTGCAGCACCAGCAGGTGGAACCAGGACGGGCAGCTGGGGCACTAAGGAGAATGCAGTGCTTGCTGGATGGTGGCTTCCAGGAACTGGTGGTGGAAGCAGCTGTTTACAGCCCAGGCCAGCCAGATGGGACCCTGGAGGTCAAGAGAGCCGCCTGCAGAGCCCTGAGAGAAGTTCTGAAGGGCCAAGAAGGTACCGGAGGGGTCAGAGGTCACACAGGACTAGGCATCATGTGAAGGGGACCTTGAGAGCTGGTCTTGCTGGGGAGGGGAGACAAGAAGAGCTAGGTGGGTGGAAGGAAATGTGGAAGCATGAGCCGGGTGCAGAGATCAAAGCAGAGTCAGGGGTGGGACACACCAGAGAGACATGAAAATCAGGGAGGTGGGCACACAGGGTGGAGCTGAGCAAGGGGGTATTTGGGAGGCTGGGGGGGCACATGAGCTGGAAATTAGAATGGGGAAGGGGAACAGCCGTGTCCCTTTCAGCAAGCCATGGCACTGCAGGGCCTGAGGAGGGCCTTCAAGAAAGTGCATCAGGAGCTGCTCTTTACCCACCTTTCGAGCTGTGTGGCTCAGAGCCCCATAGATTTGCTGCTCCCTGTCGCTAACTGATAGGAGGAAGCAGCTCTGGGAGAGGAGGCATCTCGCATGTGCCTGAGAGCTCTGAGGAGAAAGTCTTGGTTCAGGGGCCGTCCAGTATGTGTCCGTGGGTCTTTGGGGAACTCTGTGGTGGTGTCGATACATGTTTGGGCCTTTTATCGTAGGGGCAACCTGCCCCAGTCACCTCAGTCCACCAACCCTACTTGGTGTGAGGGCAGGGGGCATGTTAAATCAGTGACGAGGAGGATTGTGGGTTGGGCTCTGTTTGAGCAGGGTTTGGGGGGATGTTCGGTCATTGCCCAGCAGGTCGGAGAGAGCTGGGTGCTGTCATAAACTGGGACGTAGGCGGTCAGAGCTGGAGTCATGAGCTAGAAAGTGGAGGTCGGAGACGGGGACAGAATGGGGAGTCAAGCCAAGGGTCAGAACTAGAGTCAGGAACCAAGCTAAGGGGTGGGGGGGGGGTGTAGCAGCAGGGATCTGGAATGGGGCTGGAGGACAGGAGCAAGGCAGGGCTCAGAAGGTAGCCGAGAAGGCAGGGTCCCGCTGCATGCCAGGGATTCACCTAGTTGCTCGGACAACTTCCCGTGCCGCCTCCTGGCTTAAATAGTGAGTGTGAGCCAATCTGAGAGCCTGGACGTCTCCTACCATTGGGAGCTTCATAGGTGGAGCCTATGGTGAGCGAGGGTCCACCAGCCTAAACTCGGGTACCAGCAAGCTGCCAGGTGGAGCTCGCAGTGAGGTTGGCCTGGGGACCTGGGTTCGAGACCTGAGATTCCTCACACAGGTGCTGGCGAGTCCCCTGTGATCCCTTAGCCCAGCTGGATCCCCTCCGTGGCCCACTTGACAAGCTGAGATTGCAAGGGACAGCATGCTCTGGGAGGAAGAACAGGGGGGAGGGGCTGCGCTGTGGTATGGCTCTTCTGCCAAGGAATGTCGCAGGCTCCTCCGCTCAGTGGTTCATGCTCAGCACAGCCTCCACCTTGCGGCTGATGCTCCCCCAAGCCAGCTGTATTTACACTGTTCCTCCCCTCCCCCCAGAAATGACTCCCCAGGATCCAGTTACCATCCGACTCAGCCTGGGGGTGTGCAACACAGGATATGAAAGACGGTATGAGGACAGGCTCCCTTAGGCCGCATTGCGATGTGCCTGGAAGGTGGGTGCATCTCGTCCCGTCCCTTCATAGCAACATCCACCCGCTGCTACTGCACTTCCAAACCTGTTTAGCCGGCTGGCTGCTCCTAGCATACTTGTTGGAGGAGTGCTCCCAGGCAGGCCAACTCCTGCAAATACCTCTGCCTGAGGTGCCCTCCCCACTCCCACAACTCTCCCCTGGCAGTTCGGGAATTCCCCCTCCTGCCTGCCTGGGACTGCAAGCAGGCCGTGCTGTGCTGGGGGAAGGAGGATGGGGAGAGCAGTGGGAGGGGGCTTAGATACCGCGGTAATGGTGCTATAGAAAACCTAGGCCAGACAGATCTTTATAGGACACCCCTTCCTCCCCCAGCCCCGCACACCTTCCTGCAACGCTGCGCAATTCCCTGTGGTGCCATATACACTCCCCTCGCTGGGATAGCAGAGCTCGCAAGGGGAACGCGCTAGCAGCCAGATTCGGAGCCTGCATGAACCGCCTGTCGTCAGCAGGGAGAGCTGCTGCTACAGCAACCCAGCTACAGTCCCTTTCTTCCCTTTAGTTCACCTTACAGTAGTTCTGTGGCCATGAACCCTTGGCACGGTGGCATTTGCCAGGCTGTCCTCCACACCAGTGCTCAGGGCAGCTGGTAGACAACAGGCCTAGCCCTGTTTGTTTCACTGCATGCTAGGGGCCTGATCCGAACTCCTTTGAAGTCAATGGCAGGTCCTCCAGGGACTTCAGAGGACTTTGCATCAGCTTCCTAGGCCCCCTCCTTCCCTGTGCATCAGCAGAATTTTGATGTGCATGGTGCAGCTGCCGTGAGAAGAGTCAGGTGGGAGGTAGAGCTCTGAAAAGCTATGGTAAAGTAGCCGCATATGTGGTTAGGGTCCTACCAAATTCACAGCCGTGAAAAAAGCATTATGGACCGTGAAATCCGATCTTCCCCCATTAAATCTGGCTATTGTAGAGACTAGATTTCACGGAGCTGGTCAGCCGGAGAGCAGCGGCTGCTGGCCGGGAACCCACCTCTGAAGGCAGCATCACTGCCAGCAGCAGTGTGGAAGTGAGGGTGGCATGGTATGGGGGGGTTGTCAACATGGGGGGGGGCTGGCATTACGGGTGGGCAAGTGGGTGACTGCCCAGGGCCCCATGATCAAGGGGGCACCAGGGTCAGTCTCACACACACGCCAGCCAGCCAGCCAGCGGCCCCTTTAACTCCTGAGCGCTGGGCCTGGAGGCGGGGAGAGGTGGGGCTGTGACTGTGGGCTGAACTCCAACTGCTAGTCCCGGCCAGACGGGGGAGGGACAGGACTTTCTCTTCTCCTGCACAGGCCACTCCCAGGGCCAGGTCAGACCCACCTCCAGGATCCTCCCCTGGCTTCAGGAAGCTCCATGGATATTGGCCAGGCGCCCAGCTCTGAAGGCAGCAGCACAGGAGTCAGGGTGGCAAGACTGCAGCCCTCCTACAATAGCCTTGCGACACCCCCCTCGCCCCCCCCCCTGAAAGTTCAGATTTAAATATCAGAAACCATGAAATTTACGATTTTAAAAATCCCCTGACCATGAAATTGACCAAAATGGACCTGAATTTGGTAGGGCTCTGTATATGGTGATTGGGTATTCTAGCTGGTCTAGAGAGATCTTGCATCTTGATATGTGGCTTTGTGTGAATCAGTTTCGCTAGGTTCCTATGTAACAAATAGTACCTACAGTGCAGGCATATGAACTCCCTGTTCCAAGTAAAATGGACTGTGTTTAGCACATTCAAGTATACACTACCCCCTCTGTGGAGTTTATCTCCATAGAGGGATAGCTCAGTGGTTTGAGCATTGGCCTGCTTAAACCCAGGGTTGTGAGTTCAATCCTTGAGGGGGCCATTTAGGGATCGGGGGCAAAAATCTGTCTGGGGATTGGTCCTGCTTTGAGCAGGGGGTTGAATTAGATGACCTCCTGAGGTCCCTTCCAATCCTGATATTCTATGAAATAAACTGATTTCACCATGTGTACAATGATCTTGTTAAATAGACACTAGGAGTGGTGCAACCTGCCTATGGTTTGATACAATCTGATGGAGAATGGCCCCGGGAGATATTTAGAGATTTTTTGTCGGGGGAGGGAAGAGGCAATGTGGGAGGCAGGTGATTTGAATCTAATATCAAATAACCCCATTGAATAGCTGCATCCTCACTGGTATAGTGTAGAGGTTATGATTATTGCTGGCTGGGAAACTTTTCCTTTCCCCTGAAAATGTTGAGATTCCAGACATTTTCCCATTCTGCACTGGGACAAAACTGAGACCAAAAAAAGAGGGAGGGGGAAAAACCTACACAAACACCCCTCCCCATCTCAAAATATCCAGTAGTCTGCGGTTTGGGGCACTCACCTGGGAAGGGGAACTCATGTTCCAGTCTTTGCTCTGAATCAGATAGAACAGGGACCTGTATCTGGGTTCTCCAGTCTCAGCCGAGTGCCCCAACCCCCAGCCTATTGGCTGTTCTGGGATCTCAGGGTGGGGTTTTGATGTGAAAATTTTTCAAAAAAAATGTATTGAAAAATTCCCAACCAGTTCTAATTATGCTGAATTGATTAACTTGACAACAGTTGGACTGCTGGTGGGCCGATACCACCGCCTATCATGCTGACTAATAGTGTCTCATTGTTTCCTTGTCCCCCCTTTCTGTCTGTATCCATCTGTCCTCTTGTTTTATACTTAGATTGTAATCCCCTTGGGGGCAGGGAGAGTCTGTTTGTTCAGTGTTTGTACATCACCTAGCACAATGGGATCCGGGCCCATCCCTGGGTTCCTAGGTGCTGCAGTTATACAAATTTTATTACAAATTATGCATTTTTGCATTACAGACTTAATGTTTGTGTCTCGTTTGTTTTTTTACAGCTCCTATATCCAGCTAAGATCTGAACTGCCGCCGAAATAAAAAAACAAAAAACAAAAAAAAAACCTACACCACAAAAAAACCCCACACATTAAAATTTGGAGTTTATTCTCTGTTTGCATGCCTGTGTGTATGTATAAACTTCAAACCGTTTATCACTTATAGCAGGGCAGACAAAACGCCCTGGGACAGTGTTCATGTGAGGAATTATGTAAGGACACTGGACTCATCTTTATATTTACAGCTGCTTAAATATTTATTTTAAACCCTTGACATCAAAAATTAAATATTTTTTTAAATAGTTCACAGCCGAAAGAAGTGATTTCTTGTTTAGTTGGATCATTCTCTCTCTATTTTAAGCTCACGAACGCTTCAGTCTGGAATCTGTGTCTACACAGCAAAAACAAAGCAATGGCGGCGAGTCTGAGAGCCTGGGTCAACTGACTTGGGTTTGAGCTATGGAGCTAAAAATAGCAGTGTAGATGTTTCTGCTCGGGCTGGAGCCCAGGCTCTGAGACCCTCCCCGCTTTCCGGGTTGCAAAGCCCAGGTCAGGCGGAGCGTCCACACTGTTATTTTTAGCCCCAGAGCACAAGCCTGAGTCAGCTGATCTAGGCTCTGAGACATGCTGCTGTGGAGTTTAGGTTTTTTTTTTGCAATGTAGATGTACCCTTGTATGCTTTGTAATGCACCTAGCACAGTTCTGGGAGTCGCACAAAAGCAACCCTGATTATTCTGAAGGAAACTTTCTGGCCTGAAGTGGCGTAATTTGCCTCCCAGGTTTCATTTTTTTATGGTTGGTTTGCATTTTGAAGGAATTGAATCAGCATCTGTGGGTATGGGAGGATGTTGAGTGCCAGCTAATATCACCAACTCCAAGCATTCCTAACTCACAAGTCAAGCTCCAAAAAATCATGAGATTGGCTTAAAAATTGCAAGTTTTTAAAAAACAGTAATTGCTGTCCAAGGTCACCCTGCAGGCTAGTGGCAGAGAAAGGTGACCCTTCGGCGTGTCCTGGGCTTCATGATATGAGTTCAGCTCAGTCCCTTGAGTAGCACAGCAGAAGTGGGTTTACATGAGGGTTTTAAATGCAGAGAGGAAGAGGTCACAGAGGCTGGACCATGCGCAGGGGGCAGTGTGGAAGAAGGCACGGAGATGTTTGAGAGAAACTGACACGTGTGGGCGGATGACGCTGGCATCGCTGCCAGAGCAGAGGTGGCAATGGTGACGGGCCAGGGAAGCAGGGTGGGGCAGAGTTCTGCCAAGCTTTGGAGGCGGTGAGAAGCTTGAATATGATGTGGTAGCAGAGGGGGAGCCAGGGGAGGGGTTCAAACAGTTGATTCACGAGCAGCATTTTGTGTGGACCAGTGGGGGGCCTGTGGGTGTCTGGGAGGCCGGAGACAAAAGGGGTGCAGCTGGTGATGGACTAGAGGAGAGCTAGTAGGGCTCTACCCTCTAACTTTTAGGATTCCTGCAGAGCACAATTTCCAGAACGCTGGGATCAGGCTGCTCCACCCTCTCGACGTGCCATGGCGAAGGCTGCACCGTGCCAAGGGAACAGGAGGGCTTGCTGCTCCGTTCAGGCACAATCACAGGCTGGGAGCACTGCCAGAGGGCTAGAGCCTTCTGCTAGGTTTCGCTGCCCCGTTAACCTCCAAACTTGGATCAAAAAGGGGCACGTGCCCAGGACTCTAAGCAGCCCCAGCTTTATCTGCCTCCAAACAAAACCTTGCCAAATCACTCCGCCCATCGATCCAGCACTGTTTACTGACACAACGGGGCAAGGTCCAGTCGCCCCCTGGCCTTTTCATGTAGTGCCCCAGAAAGGAACATTCCCAGGGAATTCTCTCAGCCTTGGTCCCATTTAGGGCTCCTTATCACAGGCCAGTGTTGGGCTGCTCCCACATCCTGTATGGCTAAGGAGTCTGCATTCTTTAAGGTGAACAGCTTCCTGTTCTGACAGCCTGGAGTTCTGGCTTTCTCCACAGGCCAGAGGCAATGAAATACAAGTGGGCCAGGCACTGTTTGGTCACAGCCAAATGGGCCGAACTCCATCTCAGCTTATCCCTTTCACCAGGGACAGGGTCAGTGGGAGTGGAGACTGCAGACCAATCGGACTCTCCAGGAAGAAAGCAGGAGGCTCTGTGTAGGTGCTTGGGGGATGGGAGGAGTTGCATTTAGCACTGATGATGTAACACATCCACTGGTTTCAAGCCTCTGTTGGAGGAGGGAGAGGGAGAGAGACACTAGTCTCTTCCATCAAATACCCCGGTAAGTTAGGGGGCCGTTCCCTGAACTGGGGAGGCGATAGCCGTGAGTTCAGATCTCACCTCTGCTGACTGGTTTGTGTTCCCATCCACCCTTATTGATCAAGGCCAGGCATCCAAGTATGAGCTACAGTTCCATTTCACAGTTAACAGAGTGATTACACCAGGTCACTGCATGCACTGTCGGGAATAAGAACCCGCTAACATAAGATATCCAATTCTTAGCTGCTCCATCGCACTGCCTTTCAGGTAGGATAACAAAAGCACGTTCTGCCGCTAACCAATAAGCTACATTCTTCTCCCCAAACCAAGGCTGGAACCCAGGATTCCTGACGTCCATGATGATCCTGACGTCTAATACAATTGTGTCCCCCTCTGAAGGAGTGTGTCAAGTCCTCCTTTAGTTGCTGAACTCAAGAGGCCTAAGCTAGGGGTCTGATAGGCTAGGCTTCAAACCTGGCTGTCAAGGATATTGGTTAAAGTCTCTTATTCACAGTATCGTGAGTCTCACCATAACACTGCAAGTGTTGACAACTCTGTCAGCACCCATGAGGTGAAAGGCCTATGTTAAGTGAAGGAAGCCCATACTCTGAAACCCCTTCATGACCGTAATAAAAGTAAGACTTTGCTCTGTGAGGACACCCGAGTTTATTACCCACCTGGTCAGCTATAAGATGAATTCCCCTCACAAGTTGGGTTGTGGCCTGCTTTTCGGGGCAGTAGCAGCAGTACCATGATTCTGGGGGAAGACATAGTCATGGGTGAAGAATCATGGCCACATACACAATAAAAGAGAAACTGTTCTACAGCATGTTGCTGTGTTACAAATAAACCCCCCCATGGGGAGAGCTCTATGCTGTGGAGTTTGGCTGCTGTGGAGAAATGACCGGCCCTTTTGGAAGCAGCCTGGCTGGTCTAGAACCTCTGATATGGACTAAGACTATGAGTTTAGCATGATTTTTCCAGGGCCTTGTATCGCTCTATCCGAAATGGATTTCCTACGTTGAGTGTGATTGCGTCCAGTGAGTGCAGATGGTATGGGGTATGTGGCTGATGTCTAGTGGGAAGGAGAGGAGCTCATTAGGGGCTAAAGTCATTGGTGCCTGGTGACTTTCAGAATATCCACTAGTTTTTGATAGCTAATCCCTGGCAACCCCTAAACTGTCTGGATCCCATCTGTGGCCCCTGAAGGACATTCTGAGCTGGGTAGGTACAACATGAGCTGGGAGTACAGGCTGGTGTGGAGAGCTCTATAAAAGTTCAGTCCTTGGGTAAGGGGGGAGAGAACATCTGAAGCCTTTCTGCTGTGTTTGCGTTAAATTACATACAAGGTGCACAGTCTAAGCCGGTGACAGTGGGTTGCTTTCCATTTCTGTAGCAGGGAGATGGGCCCTTGCTACCACCAGCTGATGAGGGGTATCTGTGGTGTTGTGTTTTTAGATTTTACAGTAGGCACCTCTGCAGTATAAAATAAAATCGCTCCTGGCAGAATTCCGTCCCTGGAGTAAAACTGACATCAAAGTCCTCTTCACAATGCTCTGCCTAGTGTAGGGATTCTCCTACGTGGGCTCCTTCTTCTGGGTCTGATCCCGTGTGCCTCCCTCGACCTCACATGGGTTTCTCTCTTTCTATTTCATATTTTGATGTTAGATTTTCTCATTCATGCTCAGCATGCCTGCAACAGCTACATGCCTGTGTTCTCTAAGGGAACAAACTCTTTCCAGGACTCCATGAGTTTTTGCAGCCTATGAGACTGCGGATTTAGGGGATGTTGTGCTGTTTGTGCAGTGATATACAAAGTGGGTTTGGACACAATAAACAGCTGTGGAATCTGACAACACATAACACTAGGATCTGATTAATGACAGGATCCTTTTCATTTTAAGAATTCAGTTTGTTCCATTTTTGTGACGACGTGTTCCCCTCTTTCTCTCTGCTTGCAGACACAGGGCATGGTCCCAGATCATTCCCCTTGATCGGATTTTCACCTTGATAAAGACTTTACTGCTCTTCAGTAGCAACACAAAGGTGACAAGGAATATCAGACTTTCAATTGGCTCCATGTGGAATGTCAGGGGTTCTGTTCAGCTTTTGGAATCCTATTGTACAAATGGAGAGTCACGCAATCGCTGTGATTTTCTTTGAACCTGTGACAGGTTGGGTCACAGAGACCCCCTTGTGAACTGCCACCTGATGTGCTGAGACTACCTCTGAGCCCGTTTTCCCTGGCAGCTTGGGACTTCAGTACCCTGTCTTGTTGAGCCAGACACGCTAGCCTGCTGCAAACACAGACCCAGATCTGAACCACGTCCCCCAAAAGCTGCAAACTTAACTGAAAACGGCTTAGAAAGTGCTCCTGTCTCTAGCACCCAGATACCCAGTTCCCAATGGGATTCAAACCCTAAATAAATCCGTTTTACTCTGTATAAAGCTTATACATGGTAAACGCATAAATTGTTCGCCCTCTATAACACTGATAGAGAGATATGCACAGCTGTTTGCTCCCCCAGATACTAATTACTTGCTTTGGGTTAATTAATAAGTAAAAAGTGATTTTATTAAATATAAAAAGTAGGATTTAAGTGGTTCCAAGTAATAACAGACAGAACAAAGTAAATTACCAAGCAAAATAAAACAAAAACACACAAGTCTAAACCTAATGCAGTAGGAAACTAAATGCAGGTAAATCTCACCCTCGGAGATGTTCCAATAAGCTTCTTTCACAGACTAGACTCCTTCCTAGTCTGGGCCCAAGCCTTTCCCCTGGCACAGTCCTTGTTCCAGCTCAGGTGGTAACTAAGGGATTTCTCATGACTGGCCGCCCCCTCTGTTCTGTTTCACCCCCTTTTATAGCTTTGGCACAGGGCAGAAATCTTTTGTCTCTCTGGGTCCCCACCCCTCCTTCTAAATGGAAAAGCACCGGGTTTAAGATGGATTTCAGTACCAGGTGACATGGTGACATGTCCTGTGAGACCCCAGCCTCCATTCTTCCCGGTCTGACTCACAGGAAGGCTTGCAAGTAAACAGAGCCATCCACAGTCAATTGTCCTAGTTGATGGGAGCCATCAGTATTCCAAACCACCATTAATGGCCCACACTTTGCATAATTACAATAGGACCTCAGAGTTATATTTCATATTTCTAGTTTCAGATACAAGAACGATACAGTCATACAAATAGGATGACCACACTCAGTAGATTATAAGCTTTGTAATGATACTATAAGCTTTGTAATGATACCTTACAAGAGACCTTTTGCATGAAGCATATTCCAGTTACATTATATTCACACTCATTAGCATATTTTCAGAAGATCATATGGAGTGCAATGTCACATAGGGGTTCTGTTCAGCTTTCGGAAACCTATTGTACAAATGGAGAGTCATGCAATCGCTGTGATTTTCTTTGAACCTGTGTGTTAGCTTGTTTGTGAAGGAGAAGGAATAATAGCAGAGTCATTAGGACCAGATTCTGTGTCCAGTGACGTTCATGGAAAGACTGTCCATTGAGATCAATGAATCAAGCCCACAGCCAGATATGCTGAGAACTTGCCTTTGTTAATTGTTAGCCTAACTGCTGAAAAGTAGGTAAAGGTTTATGAATTGTTACAATGACCTTTGATATAAAGGTCTGTTTAAAAAAGATATGAGAAGGAGCTAGACCAACTGACTTAATTTAAACAGAAATGGTCGTCTGATCTCACGGAAAGACTGTGTTAAGATTATGACTGGTGAACAAGAGGAGCAGAGGATTGGAAATCAATGAACCAAAATCGGTGTGTTGGAAATTAAGCCTGCTTGGTGGACAAAATAATGAGTGGCTGGATTATTCCACCCATCGCCTCTTTGGGGACCATTAAAGAGACTTTAGAGGGGAGACTAAACCTTACTGACATCACCGCAGCTGCAGTGGAAGGATTGTTGCCTGCCTGATACCACACATTGATACTCCAATAGGGACGCTTGACCATCAGTGCTGCAAAAGCGAGGACCTCAAACTGATACATGTGAGATCCTGCTCTGTCTTCCCCTCCCTTGTGTACTGCTTTTTGCCCCCCATCTTCCTCCTGTGTTATCTCTCTCGGCTTTTCACCTGATGCCGGGCAGGTTGGTGAGACGAGAGACAGCCCATCCAGCATTTCCCAGTCTGAGAAGGAGCAGTGATTGAGAGGGACTGAGCAGACCAACCAGATGATGCCCCTGACCCAGAAGGTGAGCCCGGGTCCAGGGCAACAGCTGTCATGGCCAACCTGCCAGCATCCATCTGTGCCTGGCCAGCCACTCTGTATCTCAAGAACATCAACAAAAGCTGAATTTCCCCCAGCTTTACTGTCCTATCTCTTCTCTCCCTGTGTGTGTCCCCGATTTGTCTAAAGCAGGAAAGTGATGATTATTCCCTATTCAGAATTGAACAACAGCACTAACCCTTTCTTCCCCACCAAGAAGCACTGTTAGACTGACTGAATAAGAGACTTTAGCCAATATCCACTGTCTCCAAAAAGGGACCTTGCTAGGTTTTGATTGTTTGTTTTGCATAAACAGTCAATTTCAGTGGCAGTGCTCTTTACTTCCTGTGGATTATTTTCCTTTTGTGTGTTTCAATCAATAAACTTCTGCCCTGTGGCATGAATTGAATTATGTATTTGCCATGGCATTAAGCAGGCTGAGTTCTCTGCATACCAAACCATTGACCTTTTTTAACACTGTTTAATATTGGACAGTGATTGGGTGTTAACACCTTTAGCCCATATATTCCATCTAACTTAATATAGCAGGGCTTAGGAGGAGAGCTAATAGATGGTCCATAAACCTGAACTGGAACTGTTGGAGAAAAACAGTGTTTTTACTTTTAGGTTGGGTGCAGCAAGTTAGATACTTTATTATTTTTAGCAATTGCGTGGAGGGAGAGAGCAAAACAGGTTTTTTTTTTAGATAAACAATTACAGCAAGCATTTATACCTTTTGTTATAAACAATAATGGGCAACAGCTGCATTTTGTTTATACATAGGTTATTTTGATTTTTTTTTTTTTACCAATTTAAACTATAGTTTACAGTTTATATTTATTTAACTTAAGGTTACAACAACATTTTACCCAGTTTTTTTTTACTTGCCTAACACAATTTTTGCTTTTACAAATTTTGTGTTATTAGGGTTACAGCTAGCCTGACTTTTGTTTACATAAAAATATGAAATTTCCTTTAAATTTCTGTTAGGTTTTTTTTTTTACTTTTACAAGGACTTCTTGGTCAGATTAACTTTCCCTGCTCAGGAGAGATCCAGGATGGGAATAATTGGCAACACTGCAGATCATATCTCTTTAGTTCGGTGCCTAGCTTTAGTCAGGACCCCACTTCCAATTGCTAACAAGTTCAGCCTGTAACCAGTGCAGCGTGGAAAAGACCAGTGTTGTCTACAACTTCCAGGCCTCATAAGCACCCTTAATATAATTGCTTGGGTCCTACAACTGAAGAGATTTTAGTTTGGACTACATGAAAATCACTTGCAATGTACCACTAAATTGGTAGCTGTTTTAAACTCTGTTTGTTAGGTGCTAGTTCTCTCTCTTGAAAAACAATGAGTAGGACGAGAAAGCTGCATTGGCAATTAGAGCGTACCTTTGTTAATGAATAGAGAAATGTAAACACAGTTGTTTGGATACGGTGGATTATGTTCACGTTCCCTATGGACATAGTGACAAAGGAACATCTAAACAAAACGAGCTGTATTACAGCTGAGCATAAAAAAAGAACTGGATCTTTACAGACACTTTCATTCGGAAAAGTGGTTGATTTTTTTATTCAAATAAGCCAGGTATCTGCTGCCAAGCAAAAATAATCCACGATCCTCATCCAATTTAAGTACAGATTCTTTTGCCTTTTATGTCTAGGATGTCCCTACATTAACCATAGGGCTTCCAACTGGAGGGGTTATTGTCCCAGAACAGGTCAGGGTTTGGATGCTACTCATTGAAAAGCTATATAGGAGCTAGGTATTGTTCATACTCCAGGTAAGGATTATTCTTTTAGCTTCAGGTGATAGGTCTTGAATGGCATAGGACACTATTTTGCATACCAAGGCACAATTTAAACACCTTTGTGTGGTGGGGGGCTTTGTCATCAGTAAGCATAAATAATGTCCTGCCCCCTTAAGGCCCAAACATAAATAGAGAAGGGCTTTCATCAGTCAAAGTCCAAAGCAAAATTGTAAAGCATGGCTCACTCCTGCTGGGGCTGGAGAGCAAAGAAGAAGACCTCACCTCTGGTTCTCTTCTCAGCAACAGGGCTCTTTCTAGACAGCCTTCCTTCCTGACTCACTGTTGGAATAAGTTCCCAGCTTCCCCCAGCACCTCCCTCGGTGCGGGGGTGGGGGTGGAGGGAAAGAATAAATTTCCCCCAGCTCCATCTCTAAATAGAGTCGATCTCCTTCCTGACCCATTACCTGCTTCAGCCAAAGGAAAACTATAATAAATTAGGTATTGGGTATGGAGTTCCTAGAATCTAGCAATGAGAAGTGAAAGCCAGGGGGCCCCAGCTATGTGGCTGTTGCCTGTGATCCTTCCTTGTTGTTTTCAAAGTCTGTAGTATTAGAGACAGAATGTATCTACACCAGATTAGATAAAGGGTGATTGGCAAGACTTCAAATAAATGAAAATAAATCCTTACACAAACTCTAACTAAAGGCCATTCCTGTCTATTAGATTGTATCTGATTTTATAGCTTTAGTACATGGCCCATTCTTTTCAGAAGTGGGTGACCTTGCTGTCAGTGAGGTAGGTCAACATATGATCTTATGACAGCAGAATGTGATCCCTAGTTAAGATTCTCCCCCTTTATCGGTGCTTGTCAATTACTAAGTTACTTTCACCAGTCACTTGCCTATGACTCACCTGGGCTAAGCCAGCTCTTTCTGGCCTAACTCAGGGGGCAAGCCCCTGTGGAAGAAAGCATGCTTGGAGCAGAGTTGTGATGGTGCAAAGCGCTCACAACCCTTGTTTCAGCAGGGGCGCTGCAGCCAGCATGCTTGCAAATTGAAATGGGGCTGGTCAGGGTGCACAAGCAGCCATACATTTTACAGCCCTTCTTTTGTTGTAAACATCATGGAACTCCATTGGAGGAAGGAAGGGGTGATGTCATTGCCACTCCCCAAACTGGTGATTCCTGTGACCTGAGAGCTTTCAAGCCTGATGTTTAAACCACTGATTCTTTCACACCTTGGCCAGGCCGTTGAGGTGGAGCAGTACCCTTAAAAGAGTTTGGGGCTTTGCCAGCCTGGTGTTAGGAATTTATGTATTTTTTATTATTCTCAGAGTGCAAAGCATAGATTCATAGATTCTAGGACTGGAAGGGACCTCGAGAGGTCATCGAGTCCAGTCCCCTGCCCGCATGGCAGTCACATCATAAAGTCACATCACAGTGAACACAACGCAGGGGAGTCATTGGCCAACGATCTTTCTCCATGTTTTGCTGTCTTCACACAGCCTAGAGAAGGGTGCCACACCACATCCCGCCCAGTTAGCCACATCATCAATCCACACTCGCTGTGGGCTTCCCTGGCACCAGTCATTGGTAGGGAGAGAATGTAACATAGTCCCCTAACGGAATGGTTCTCAACCTCTTCCATAGCATGACCTCCTTGTCTATATTGGGACACCCCCGGCCCCCATGACTTGCCTTCCCATTCAGCAATAGGGAATGGCAGGGTGGTCGGGACCTTCATCTCCAGGTCGAGAACCTCTGCCCTGACTCTTCCTCTTAGCCTGTCTGTGTCTGGCTGGGCTATAATAAATGCTCCACCCTCCCATTATTCCCTGTTCCTTTAATGTTAAAGAGAACTGCACACAGCCACTGGTGGCTAAATAGATTCCAAATTCTTTGCAAATCAGATATGGCTCATTAAACATACGGTGCTGGGTGTCACCGTAACTCCCATCAGCTGCAAGCCCTGTAAATTATTAGCATTGCATCTTCTGCGGGGGGACTAGGCCCGTGAGTAGCCCTGTTTATCAAGGAAAAGCAGCATGAGAATCCCATCTGCTGTGATGCCGCTGCTTCCCAGCCCGGCTGACACACATTTGTCCATTTTGTAAACTTCACGGTACGTTCTCCCCTGGCTGTTTGTCACTTGATGTTCTTTCATGTGAACAGGGCTTCCTTGTCTGCTTAGTGGTCAGAGTATGCCCCTGCAACCATCATGGACAAGTTCAACTACAGTTATTTCCCGGCTCACAACTGAGGCTTTAAATTTGGTAACACAAAACCTTCAGTAAGACTTTGTGCTCCCCCCACAAACACTGCACGCTGAACATGTACACCCGTGTTAGTGCTGAACATTTGCTAATGCTGCCGACCCTGCGATTAAAGGTTTGCATTCTGCTGGGAGGGGGATTGATGTGTTGTGTGTTTATGGCGCTGTTGGAAATGGCTTGTGAAGAGGCTGCAGGGTCTGTCAGTGTCCGTGGTGGACCTAAGCTGTGTGGGTGTTAGGGTACAATTAGAAGGTGTCCTATAACTTGGCAAGTCATTGCTTTTAAGGCTTTTGGCTAGGAGGATGTCACACTCACCTATACTATATATCACCAACTGGATGAACTAATGCACTTTGCCTTTCTCCTGTCAGGCATGTTCCTCTTTGCACTCCGGTCCCATCACACCCACACCCAGGAGTCTTTCTCCTGCGCCTGGTCAGGTTGTATCAGTCACACTCCACCTTCAAATCCCTCAAAACTCCCCTTTGCTGTGAGGCCAGGAGGCCTACAAAAAACTTGACAGTAGTTAGGCTGCTGGTGTGTGGTGACCACTGCCTATCACCGACATTGTCTCCTTCTGTTCCCCCATTTGCCTGAATCCATCCATTATACTTGATTGGGGCAGGGACTATCTTTGCCTTCTGAGTTGGTACAACGCCCAGCACAATGGGGTCCTGGTCCATGACAGAGGCCTCTAGCAGCTCTACTATAATAATACTAACAAACCTTGGGGGTCACTCAGTTATCAGGGCAAGATTCACAGCAGGAAGGGGGTTGATGTACTGTGTGCAGTTGCTTGTGCTGTTCATTTCTCATTCTCTCTTCCTCCTCCCAGTGTCTGAGGGACTCAGAATTTGGGGCAAGAGGACTTTTCTCTATTGTCAGCTGGCTTCTGCTTCCCAAAGCAGAATTTTCCCTCCACTCAATGCGCAATTAACCTATGGAACTCCTCGCCAGGGGATGTTGTGATGGCCAAAAGTACAACTGGGTTAAAAAAAGGAGATAAATTCATTGAGGAGAGGACTGTTAGCCGAGATGGTGAGCAATGCAATGCCATGCTCAGGGTGACTCTCCTAAACCTCTGCCGGCAGAGGAAGAGGGGGGAGGATTCCTTTAACTACCCAGTTCTGCACACTCCCCCTGAAGCTCTGGTACTGGCCACTACTGGAGACAGCAGAGCGGGCTAGATGGACCATTACTCTGACCCACCTGGGGCACCTCTTATTTTCTTATTCTCCGGATTTTCCTTTTATCCCGGTGTGGCTGTTGCTCCGATTGGGAGACTGCAACCAGGGCAGGCCTGACCGCCGGCAGCATCCCTTGGTTCCAGTTTATCCTAGAAGCCTTGGGCTGGTGGGGGATCTTTGGCCCACAAAAGCGGGTGGGTCATAAATATTCTGGGCCCCTATTTCCCCGCCCCTGCACCCCACGTGGAGTTAGGAGCAGGAGCGGAGGGGGAAGAAGCCAGGAGGGAACAACCTGAAGTGGCGAGGGGCGGGCTGTGCCCGGGGCGGGGCGGGGCAGGCGCTGAGCCCCGGCCCCGGCCCGGCGCTGCAGAGGGAGACGGGGAGCGCCCGGAGGGCGATGGAGGGGGAGCCCCCGGGTCCCGGGGAGCAGGCGCTGCAGGAGTTCCAGGCCCTGGTGGAGCTGGTCGGGGGGAAGCCAGAGGTGCTGCTGGTCGGGGAGGTGCTGGAAGGGGGGGAGACCCGGGCGCTGCTGGGGGCTTTTGCCCAGGAGCTCTTCGGGGAGCAGCCCGGGGACCCGGCGGGCAGCGGGGAGAAGCCGGGGGAGCGGCCCGGGGACCCG